AAAGGGAATATTATGGTTTCTTCAGGGTCGGCAACGGGCACGTGACACCCCTAGTGTTGCAGGCGTCCATAGGCTACAATTACCGTGTATGACTGGTTACCACTTTTGTAGTATAAAAAAAATCTCTTGTTAACCTATTTTCTTCGTTTCAAATATAAATGTACAAATAAAACTTATACAAACAAACAAACAATATCTAATCAATACATATAACATATTTATTGCCAAATTACGGAACAAAGTCTACACAATTGACTTCAGTTTCCTGCGAGCAAACAATTTCACCAAAATGCAGACGTATTCCGTATCTAAAAGACAGTATATGAATAAAACATGGTATTTGCACAGGACAAAGGCAGCACTTTTACGTAAGCGCGCTTTGTCGGCGCCTGTGCGCGTCGGGAAGAAACTAGGGTATTCAATGATGTTGCGTTTGCTGTCGCGTGCAGCGGTGTGTCCCGGGTGTAAACATTTTTACTTATTGGAATTTAATATTTACTACAATTACAATAAAGCAGATAATTGACTGTCTTTATTTGCTGATTATATAATAATCAGTTATAAATTTAACTATTTTTAAATTTTAATTCCATTTTTTATTTAGTGTTATTTTGTGTTAGTCGATCATGCTATATGACCATGTTATTTTAGATATTGTACACTTAAATAAACACAAATATTGTAAAATTAGATTTAAAAGGAAACACTAGGTGTCATATCGTATAGGGAGGTCAGAGATATGGCTTGGGATAAAGCTGGCTGGAAGAAAATGCATGAATTAGTTGCACCGACAAAAGGGGACTTTAAAAAAAAAAGGATTCAAAAGAGTAATTGTTGAGTTACTTGGGGGTCTTCTCAGTAGATACCAACATTCTGAATCCAGTAGTAGAATTATGAAAGATGACCGTTTAAAAGAGCTTGTAAACATATGTATTTGAAAAAAGAAGATTTTGAATTCGTATAAATTACGATGACGCGGGCAAAGTCGTAGGTAAAAACTAGTCCTTAGTTCTATAATCTATAACTAAAATATTGTAATATTTTATACCTAATACTTAAAACTCATTGTATCTCAAACTCAATACGGTATCACAGAAGCAAAACTCAGCTACGTTCACAAACAAGACTGTATACTCCAACGGACGACTGTTAACAACGACGTGAAAAAAAAAACAATATTAAAAATGGCGTTGCCTCGCGCCGTCACCACCAGAATGGGGAGCTATGGTTTTATTTTTCCATACACCATGCCTCCCTTTCTCTGAGCATTTTTAAATTTTCCCGTTGGGGAGATTTTGCTTACTTTTGCCTGTTGATTAATTCGGTGGCTAGCGTCCCGCTGCGCCGCTTCTGCGGCTTGATTGCGCTTATTCTTTGCTTCTTATTTTCCCAACATTGTACAAGGTTTTTGTCGTTATAATTTTAAATGGTTGATAAATGTGAAAATTAAGGCACAATATTGGATAATAACGCTCGGTTTCTGATTGCATAAAAAGACGCAGAACGGGAATGCTGTTTCTCGTAACATTTATCTTTATATTGGCAAATAAGTAGGTATATTTTTATTTTAATATTATAAATTAGATATTATTATCTATCTATCCTATTTAAGAGCTGCGCTCTTGTCGGTGGAGCTCTTGCCACTCACTACGATTTTCAGCGAGTCTCTTCACCTCTTTATTATTATTATAAACTTATTATATTATAAACTTGATATTCCCAACGATAGTCAGTGTGTGTTCATGACTAAATTAAAAAGTTAATGTACCTCGCCATTACATTACATACTTACTCCTCTCCGTCCAAAGGTTGCCTGGAAGAGATCGCTTTTAGCGATAGGGTCGTCCATTGTTTTCTCACTATGATTATTTCTTGTAATTGTTTATATTTATAAGTTTACTATTGTAATCTTTTGGAGAAAACAATAAAGAGTATCTACCTATCTATATTTATTTATAATTCAAAATAATTTAATCACATTTTCCATCATTTACTTATATTGTTAATATCTTTATTAATTTAATGACATTTAATAATTTAATTCCATTTTAATGTTCATCAAACACAAAGTATTTTGTGGCTGCCTATAAATGTAAGAACAGTTAGACCTAATACAGTACTGTATTGTATTGAAATGCTTCGCTGTATCTTATATTGGTGATCCTATAAATAAATAAATGAAATGTAATAAATGAAAGGCAGTATATTGGTTACCTGTTCACGCCTTTCCAGCTCATTCAATCGAATAGATTTTATTCCTAAAAATTTTAACTAAACTAATTTTACCATTTGAAGTGATTCATAAAATTTTATATAACTACCTACCAGTGGGAGACTTTGTACAAATGTCGTTTGCTTGGATACCTCTGTCCGATTCGTGTTTCTACCGTGAAGCAGTTGTGTTTGCATGGCTGTGTTTCGGTTTGAAGGGCGGGATATGGCAGTGAATTTACAGGGTACAGAGAAATAACATCTGAGTGAAACAATATACTCAGTTATATCCATTGTACTGTTCATGTTTATAGGCGACGGACGGTTATTACTTTCCATCAAGTGGGACGTCAGCTTGATTGCCATTTTAAGTTGCATAAAAAAAACCTACCTATAATATTTGTACTACTATAATTTGGCATTCTGTGAACTAAAAAAAAATTAAATTAGTTAAATATATTTTGAGTTTGCCTATTGCAAACAGATAAAGTCTTTTCGTTTAGATTTGTGCTGAATAACAGCGCTGTAGCTCTTCATACGCTGCAGCAATATGCTGAGCACGAACATATTTCAAAGAATATTGCGACACACATACGCACACGAGACTTCATACGCTGCAGCAATATGCTGAGCACGAACATATTTCAAAGAATATTGCGACACACATACGCACACGAGACTTCATACGCTGCAGCAATATGCTGAGCACGAACATATTTCAAAGAACATTGCGACACACACACGCACACGAGTACACACTTGCACTTATTATCTTTATTTGTTTATTTTTGTTTTTGTTTTTAATTATATTGTTTTACAGTGGTACCTCGATATTCCAGTGCCCTAATATATGACTGTTTTGTGATACGAGCCGCCGAGCAAGCGATATTTTGATTTAAGATGAAAGCAAGATTTGAGACACGAGGAATCGCACACGTCTCCAACATGCGGGTGGATGTTGGTATCTAACAATTTTTCCCATCTCAGACTAACACTTAACAAAAACAACTGAGGTGCTTTTTTTGGAAGCTAGTAAGAATTAATGGTATTTCAATTAATCTCAATGCGGGAAATTGCTTAGAGATACGAACAATTTGACATACGAGCAAGGTTATGGAACGAGTTAAATTCGTATGTCGATGTACCACTGTACTTAGATTTTTTTTAATCTATAGATTAAAAAAATATATTATATAAATCTGTAGAGAGGTCAATTCTGTACATGAAATATATTTCCAAAATAACTATCATGGGGTATTTAAGCCTATCTACCTGTCAATATTTTTTTAATTACTACCTACAGTATATTTCAGAGAGACGATTTATTACTTATTATGTTGCTATTGCTTATAGATTAAAATTATTGTAAAACTTGATTAAATCATCTTATTTAACTAAAAGTCGGGTTTCCATAGAAGCATTGTGTTATATTAAACAGGGGGTGATTAGTGATCGATACTGATGCCAAAACGGATTTTAACGAAACTTGGTACAATTATTCTTCATACTTCTGGGCAGGTTATAGTATACTTTTCATCACGCTACGATCAATAGGAGCAGAGCAGTGAAGGTAAATTGTTAAAAATGTCCACCCGTGCGACGCCGGGACAGGCCGCTAGTTATGAATAAATTCTTTCTTTCTTTATTCTTTCAACTTTTATTATTTACATTTTTATTTTACTTTAGATATACCTATACCTTCTTCAATAATGACCGTGTAGAATTAACTAAACTACATTAATCAAAGATCAGATTAGGTATTCAGACGGGGTTTGAATGCTTAATACACCTATTTGCAATCAAAATGAACGCCCGAACCAAATTATAGTTTAGCATATTAATAACATATTTTAGTGGCTGTTGAATTTCAAACTTCTATCTATACTAATATTAGCTGAAGAGTTTGTTTGTTTGAACGCGCTAATCTCAGGAACTACTGGTTCGAATTGATTTTTTTTTCTTTCTGTTGGATATTCCGTTTATCGAGGAAGGTTCTAGGCTGTATAGCATCACGCTGCGACCAGTAGGAGCGAAGCATCAATGAGAAATGTTGCAAAAACGGGGAAAATTATTTATATTTGAGGGCTTTCGTTGCGTGCGCTGCGTAAACGGTTCAAGTTACCCAAAAAATATGTATGAAAGAATTATTCCTCTTTGAATTATCTAAAAAAATGTCCGCGACAGTATATATCTATCTTTTAAGATTGACTCACTATAACATTTATATTGTAATCAAATTTGGTCGAAATTAATGCATTATTGCCAATTATTTGCCAGACTTTTATCAACATAATAAATATTAATCCTAATCATAATAACAGAAATTGATACGGACGAAGTCGCGAGCAATAGCTAGTCACAAATGAAACGTTTATTTTAGCGCAGACTACATCTAGCTGTACAATACGACAGGAATTTAATGTATTAATCAAATAATATTTAAAACTGTATTAATTTAAACGGCTGTAAAAAAAGAAGGTAGCGGTGGAAGAGAAGAAAAACTCAAAACGACAACTTATCTGGACGATACTTATCTAACGATATCTTAACGGCCGTCTCACTGACGTAGTAATAGCAAATTATAGTCCTCCTCTTATGGTGAAAGAAGAGTATCTAGCAGTGGAAAGTTTATGGGTTGTTAAGGCTGAATAAAATCTAATCTAATTAAAAATCCGGACAGAAGAGCAAATGTCCGGAAATACCAGTGAGTCACTTACCAGAAAGAAAAAACTGATGGTAAACGAAATATTAAATAAAATATGAACTATTAAATGAGACAATAAACATACCTAATCTCTTAGAAATCTCCGAATTGTGCATCTTGGGGTTATCTTGTGCGATTTTCCTCCTTTGTAACCGTGACCACACCATAAAAGCGTTCATGGGCCTCTTTATATGTTCCTCTTGAGCTTTTTTCTGCTGCACCTGCCCGTTCATGGCCGATATGGAACTCATGGTCCCAATTGCACCCATGGACATGTGGCCCATTGGGAAGTGACCCATGGACCCGCCGAAGCTGGTCCGGTCACACATCGCACCAGCGGCACTGAAAGTAAAAAAAGTTCAAAAATTTATTACTAAGAATTTTCTGTACATAAAATTGAAATAAGTAGTAAGTGTAGGCCATCCCTTCCTTTTCCATGGGTGTCGTATGAAGCGTCTAAGGAAATTTAATAGTCGAGGGACAAGCAGCGTCCTTCTTAAAACATCACCAAAGCCTGACTATGGTTGCTGGGGGGAAAGGGATTGTTAGTAATGGGATTTAACAGCTCCATTGCCAGCAATATGCCCTATTAGGTCGACCTCCACGTGGTTCCCCCTGGAAACCACCGTGAACAATTCTTGTTGAATTTATCACGATGGGCTAACTAACCTGCTTCATACTCACCTATCATCTCTCACTGGTGTCCCGCCGGTGTATACTGATAGCGCGGGTGGGGCTACCATTCGATTATCACCCATTAAAAAAAAATAAAAAAAATTGTAATAAGCCAATCCCTAGGTGTTCATTGTTAGTGCCCCTACATCCACCACGTGTACATGATTATAACTTTTAATATTCGAGCGACAATTACTGTGCTCGGAAGAGTGGAAAATATTAATATTGAGTACAAGGAGGGTGTTTGATAAATCGCCATTTTCCAGATTTAAGCGCGCTTCCCTTTTTGGGGATGCCCATTGTGTTTATCGGTTGGAATGCTAATTTAATTTTTGAACATTGCTTATTTATTTTATATATATATATATATATATATATATATATATATATATATATATATATATATATATATATATATATATAGTATATTATATGTATGTTTATATAACTATAACTATATGTTTGTAATATATAAATATATTAAGTGTTAATTTTTAATTATTCTATTAAGTTATTCTTTCAATTCAATAATGCACCACCAACTTATTTCTCGGTTTGTCCAATGGTTGACTGGTAGAGAACACCGTCCGGTGTTAAGTATACTCGTATGTACATAGTTTCAATGTGCATTGAAGTTTATATATACATATAACTTCAAATATATATCGTCATAGTCGTAAAATACTGACGGATCTTTATATATAATCTTTGTCAGATCCGTCAGTATTCTACGACTATGACGTTATATATATATATATATATATATATATATATATATATATATATATATATATATATACAAGTACTTTAAAAGGAAATATCGACAACACGGTTATCTTTTTTGTGATAGAATAGCAAAGAAGCTGAGAGCCTAACTGAAGGAAAGTGGTAACCGTCACCTATAAACATGTAAAGCACTATGGACGTCATATAATTTACTGTGACTCTCATGATAACGCAGGTGAGTAAGCCATTCCTGAGGAACAGTCTTATACATAAAAACTGAAACGTGGTACAAGTACAAACCTACTTTAATATTAGGATGTTTTGTCACTGTCTTTCATATTGAGAAATTAGTGCAAAAGTTAAGGACAAAACACTTCAATAGCTGATATAGGATTATAAGAATTTTGACGTTTTTATAAATAAGGAGGTAAGAAGTTAAACTCCCATGCCTTTTAATTTCATTGCTATATCCCACTTTTCAAATTGAAACACAGCCATGTAAGCACAACTGCTTCGCGTAAAAAACATGAGTCGAACAAAGATAGCCATGCAAATGGTTTAAGTAGGGGGGAAAGGGATTGTTAGTAATGGAGACTGAGAATCCCATTGCTAGAAATATACCCAACCAGGTCGACCACCTCGTGGTTCTCCCTGGAAACTATCATGGTTAGTTCCTGATGAATTCATCATGATGGGCTAATTGGCCTGTTCTCATCTATCACCTTCACTGGTGCCAGCGTATCCCGTTAGCGCAGGCGGGGTTACCATACCATTTTCACCCATAAAAAAAAAGTTTTTATGAATAAGAAGGTTGATTTAGATGAATTTACTAATATGTGGGAGTTGTCACACACAATTGTACTGTTTAACGTATACCTACATTACACTACACAGAAAAGAAAAAACAAATATGTATGTATGGAGTCGAGATGAATAAGGTTTTGCCACATACCCGCGACACAATTTGACGGTAGCCTGCCAACTCCTGCGCAAACAAAATAAATACAGAGGATTGTTGGCTCAGCTAAATCCACTTTGACAAGTTTTAAAACAAGCTTATTTAAGAGTTACGATTCATATGTTTCTAGATGGAGCATCAAGTGTAAAAACGATCATCGTTGGCTAACGCGTATTTTTTTTTAAACTAAAAAAACGCGCCATTTGTTGAGCGTCGTTTATGCATTGCAAATACGGGTATAGCGTGTTCTAATTAAACTAAAAATGTTAACCAAAGAATAATTATTTTACTAAAACAAGTGTTATCTTATAGGTATTCTTATAGGTAGTCCATACCTATGTTAACACTAGGCACACACACAACAAGCGATCTAATAATTTGCCAGAAGTTGTCTCGTTTAGAAATGAAACGCGTGTCGCAAAATGTACGTAGACGAAATGACAGTCGGAGATTAAAGACTAATATGGAAGGTAGAACTTCTGAAAGTAATGATTATGGTGAAACTTCGAATGTTGGCAGTTGTATGTGTGACTGCCAACTGAATGATAGCGAAATTAAAGAAATTAATTTTAATCAAATAAAAGATTTTTTTGATGGGTGAAAATGATATGGTAACCCCGCCCGTGCTAACGGGATACGTTGACGGAGCACCAGTGAAGGGTGATAGATGAGAATGAAAACAGGCCAGTTAGCCCATCATGATGAATTCATCAGGAATTAACCATGATAGTTTCCAGGGGGAACCACGAGGAGGTCGACCTGGTTGGGTATATTGCTAGCAATGGGATTCTCAGTCTCCATTACTAACAATTCCTTTCCCCCCTCAAATAAAAGATTGATTGTTCCAACTATAAGTCAGTCTGTTAATGTCCAACGGTAGTAAAAAATTAATATAAACTAAATAATTTGAATAAAAAAATTTAAACATTTACCTTATTAAAAAATGTGGTTAAAAGACAACTAAAAATATAATTAATAAATTATGTGTATAAGTGGAAATTATTATCATATTATGTCCACTAGTGTTATATATTTATTGATTACATTATGTAATCACGCATGTCAAATCTGCAATATCCCTTAAGTTGGTTGTAATGTAATATTATATATAAACACCTATGTAAAAACCAATCAGTGCAAGTAAATAATCTAATTCGATTAGTACAGAAAAAAATCGATCTATTGATTAAATGTTTCGACTTATTACTATTCTCATATTTATTTTTATATCACGAAGGTGGCAAAAAAGCATACAGCCCATCTAACTGTAAACGGTCACTGTAATATAAGGACGCCTGCAACACTAGGGGCGTCACGTGCGCGTTGCCGACCCTGGAGATACCTAACTTCATATAGAGAGCGTTTCTGGAGTTTTTTTTTATACAACTTAGAATGGCAAACAAGCTGACGGCCCACCTGATGGAAAGTGGTAACCGTCGCTTATAGACATGAGCAGTACCATGGAATTAACAGAGTATACTGTTTCGCCCATGATACCCCTATGCGTAGCCATTCCTGAGGACTCAGGTGTTATTCCTCTATACCCAGTAAATTCACGCCATATCCCACCCTGCAAACCGTAACACAGCCATGCAAACAGCTGCTTCACGGTTGAAACACGAATGGGACAGAGGTACCCAAGCGATTGACTTTTGTACAAAGTCTCCCTCTGGTAGTCTTTCCATGATAATTATAACAAAACCTGATTATTTTTTTTATTATATTCTATTGAAACGGAATAGGTGAATTACCTCTGAGTAGAGACGACATATCGTCATAGTCGTAGAATACTGACGGATCTTTATATGTAATCTTTGTCAGATCCGTCAGTATTCTACGACTATGACGATATTATCAACCGAAATCAAAAGAAAGGTTCGTCTTTCGGTTGTATTTCCATTCTATGTTTTTTACCCCATAACCTCGTCAGTTTTAAACCGATTTGGAATATTCTTTTTTTTATCTAAACCTACAGAATTTTTTTCAAAATCAATTGAGTAGTTTAGTTTTAAGATAAAAATAAATGGCTTTGTCACCAATGAAGTCGGTCTCATTTTGTAGGACACAATCGCTTTTATGTCACTATTAAAACAGCCGTTTTTCATTGCGACGCTAATTCAGTTGTTATTTACGACTTGCAGTTTCTGAGATGTATTGAGCGGACAAGACCGCGGGAAACAGTTAACATTTAAATGCCTAGCAAATAGATTTTCACTCGGTTACAAGATGTTAAAATTTAAACCGAGCCGTAAGTGGGGAGCAGTAACAAAAACATTATTATACATGGCACAATGTCTAAATAAGCCACTGCAAACAACTTAGAGGTCGCAAGACGCCGCCGCCGACGCAACAAGGGTCCACTTTGTGTAACCAATTAGTGAGCAGACGCGGAATACCACGACACTCGGTTTGGACGCTTGGAGAACCGGCGAGCGGATTCCAGGGATCATTGAGAGATAAAAACAAGCAGTGTTGCCAGATGGGATATTTTTTCGCAATTTTGAGGGAACATTTTCGTCTTGTAGAACTTGAATTGTTGGAAAACAAATCGGTGGGGATAGTTATGGGTACTAATGTGGGATAATGTAGATTGAAGAAAGTAAAATGAAGTTAAGAGTTTAGCCTAGGAAAGAGCGATTTTTTTCGTAGTTTATTGTATTTATTTATTGGGTGAAGGAATCGTGTCAATTAAAAAAAAAGAAATATATGAAATTTAGATAGAAATAAAAATTTGCACCTGGCAACACTAAAAATAAGGTATAAATAATAAGACAGATATAATTACTGACAGTGGACAGTGGAAGTAAAATATATATTGCAACCCCGAAATAATAGGATGAAAACAAGACTTAATGAAGGTGACAAAAAGAAGTATTAAGTGTTGCCGACTTTACTTCAAAAACATGTTTAAGTTCAAATAACTTTGTTCAATTAGATTTTTCATTAGCTAACTACCTACGTAGATAGGTATAACAATCACGCA